CAACTCCTGGGCTCAAGCGAGTCTCCTGCCTCAGCCTCCCAAGTAGCTGGGACCACAGGCGCCCACCACAATGCCTGGCTATTTTTTGGTTGCAGTCATCATTGTTGTTTGGCAGGCCCAGGCTGGATTCGAACCCGCCACCTTAGGTGTATGTGACTGGTGCCTTAGCCACTTGAGCCACAGGTGCTGAGCCCATATATTTTACTTTTATATGCGCTTTAAACCCACAAAACTTTGCTACTGTTTTTGCTTTAGATAATCATTTATCTCTTAGAGTGATTAAAAGCATGAAAAAGTGTCTATTATATTTACTTTCATTTTAACTATTTTCAAAGATCATTTCTTTGTGTAGATCCAGTTTTCTGTCTGAAATCCTATTCCTTTTATCTAAAGAACTTCTTTAATATTTCTTGTAGTACAAGTCAACTAATGATGAATTCTGTTTTTGTTTGCTTGAAAAGGTTTTTATCATTTTTTTATTTCATTATTTTGGAAAGTTTTGCTGAGTAGAGAATTCTGGTTTGATAGCTTTTGGTTTGTTCTTGTTTTTTCTTCTTCTTAAAGCACTTTAAAGATGTCCCTACACTGTCTTCCGGCTTATATAGTTTTTGATGAGAAGGTGGCTGTGATTGTCTTGCTTCATTGAAGAACCATATAATGTGTTGTCTTCCCTTCTGGCTACTTTGAAGACATATCTCTTTATTTTTTTGTAGAGACAGAGTCTCACTTTATCCCCCTCTTTAGAGTGCTGTGGCATCACACCTCACAGCAATGAAGACATATCTTTTAACCTTAGTTTTCAGTTGTTTGGATATGATGTGTTGCTTTTTTGTTTGTTTTTGGTATTCTGTACCAAAATGTGTGTGTTTTTTTGTTTGTTTTGGTATTCTGTGTGGAAAAATTGCCTGAGCTTTTTGGGTCTGTGTTTTGATATCACTTATTATTTTTGAATAATTCTTGGCCATTATGGCTTCAATTATTTCTTTTCTCCTTTTGGAAGTTCAGTTACATATTTATTAGACCATTTGATATTGGAATTCAGTATCACAATTCAAAAGTTACTGAGATTCAAAGATAGAGCCTTTGAATGCTTTATCCTGTATTTTTTCCTTTCATTTCTCTTTGTGTTTCAGTTTGGGTAATTTACTTTGGCCTATCTTCAAATTTACTAAAACTTTTCTGAGCTCTGTTGAATCCACTAATGAACCTGTTAAAGGTATTCTTTCATCCTGTTACTAGGCTTTTCTTTCTTTCTTTCTTTCTTTCTTTTTTTTTTTTTGAGACATAGTCTCACTTTGTCACCCTGGGTAGAGTGCTATGGCTTCACAGCTCACAGCAACCTCCAGCTTTTGGGCTTAGGCAATTCTCTTGCCTCAGCCTCCCAAATAGCTGGGACTACAGGCATCCACCACAGCGCCTGGCTATTTTTTTGCTGCAGCTTGGCCGGGCCTGGGTTCAAACCCACCACCCTTGGTATATGGGGCTGGCACCCTATATAGGCCCTATACAGGCGCTGCCCTAGGCTTTTCTTTCTTAACTGTTTCATTTGATTTTTTTCTAGGTGTCTCCATCTATGGCTGAAATTCCCTATTTGTTCATTCATGTTGTCCACCTTTTAGTATATGAATCATAGTTATTTTCTTTCTTTCTTTTTTTTTTTTTTTTGAGAAGGAGTCTCACTATGTATAGGCAAAATGCCTATATGCTTCTGGCCAAAAATGCCATTTGAGAGAGAGCAGTGAAAAGACTTTGTGCAGGCACACTTGTGAGAAACTGAGGCAGAATCCCATATGGCCGAGTTAGTTGCAGGCCTAACATGACAAAGGCTTTGGCTGGAATGGCATTTCCAGACTGCGTTAAGGAATTAAGATTGACTTTATAAGGCCAATGAAAAAGCCCTTTGGAAAACTGGCCAGATACCCAACAGTAACCTTTCCTGATCTGTGGTAAGTGACGAAAGTCACTTGCTGATGGGTCCGGGAATGGTAATGTGCTAGGGGACCTCAAGAGAAGAGGAATTTACCCAGTGCATACAGGTATCTCTCTAATGACACAGATGAAACCTGGGCTCATGAAAGACTTTTGAGAAGTCCAGCCTGAGAATTCCTTATAAAAGGCTCCAGCAAAGTCCTACATGGGAGCAGAGGTTTGCACACAAATTCTTGTATGCCCAAGAAGTTTCTCTATGCTTTGCTTAAAGATTCGAAGTAACTGCCTCCAAATGGCGTGGTCAGTAGAACAGACATTCAAATCGTCTCTTTCCCCCATAGCCTCAGGCTTCAGATAAGAACAAAGAAAGTAATAACTGACAACATGTTCTTCGTTAAGTTATATTAAACCAGGTTATGTTGAAAGGGTTATGCTTAAAGGTGTATATTGGGTGGATTATCAGATTACAGGGAGGAGCTACTTACAGGATGGGTGGTCATAAGATGTTTAAATGGATTAATAAAGTCATTGATGTCCAATGCACATGTGCAGAGGGATTGTAATGAATGTAATGAGGTCATTGTTGTATAGTGTGTGTGCACAAGATTGCCTATATAAACCAACAGCAAATAAAGAAGGGTCACCATTTTGCCTGAGCGAGCAGATGGTCGCCTTTATTTAAAAAACAATTTCAATAAGCGTGCTTGTTCTTCACTACATCACTTTTCCGTGAGACCCTAACAGCAACACCCTTGCGGCAACAACTGTGTCACCCTTGGTAGAGTGCAGTGGCATCACAGCTCACAGCAACCTCAAACTCTTGGGCTTAAGTGATTCTCTTACCTCAGCCTCCCAAGTAGCTGGGATTACAGGCATCCGCTACAATGCCCAGCTATTTTTTGTTGTTGCAGATGTCATTGTTTAGCTGGCCCAGGTCGGATTCGAACCTGCCAGCCTGGGTGTACGTGGCCAGTGCCCTACCCACTTAGCTACAGGCAATGCCCGAATCATAGTTATTTTAAATTCCCTGTCCATTTCAGCAATTGAGGGTTTTGTTGATCACATTGTCTCTGGATCATGGGTTGTTTCGGTCTTGCCTTTAGGGGTGTCTCATGAAGTTTAAGTGAAGGTCGGTGCTGCCAATGTGATCTTTTCTGCCCCTGCTGAAGAGGCAAAGGGAGTATCCCAGGAAGTAGTATTTCCCCAGGTAGTGTGTAGGGATTTCTAGATAAGTAATTCTAGAAGTCGTGAGGCAGGTCAAATCTTTAATAACAATCCTTCCTTTTTCCTCTATTCCAGTTCTGCCTTCATAGTTCTCTGCCTTTACCCAAAAACTGTAGAAAATGAACAAATCCCAGGTAAGTTGTTTATTTATTCTCCACTTTGTTTTTAATGCATTTGACAATGACAAAAATCTAGAGAATGAAATAGAAAAGTATAAATGAATAAAACTAAAGGAAAACATGGTAAGATTAACTGATCAATACCAGCATCCAAAAAGCAAACTTAATTAAGAATCTTGCATTGGCTGCTGAGTGCGGTGGCTCACACCTGTCATCCCAGCACTTGGGAGGCCGAGGCGGGTGGATTACCGGAGCTCACAGGTTTGAGACCAGCCTGACCCAGAGCAAGACCCCATCTCTAAAAAATAGCCAGGCGTTGTGGCAGGCATCTATAGTCCCAGCTACTTGGGAGGCTGAGGCAAGAGGATCACTTGAATCCAAGAGTTTGAAGTTGCTGTGAGCTGTCATTCTACCACACTCTACCAAGGGTGACCAAGTGGGACTCAAAAAAAAAAAAAGAATATGGCAGTGGTTAAGCATACCAATTCCTTAGCTTTTTTTTAAATTTGTTTTTATTTAATTACATGATTTTTTATATTAAGTCTGAATGCATTTTCTTGACCTTCATATAGGTGGTATTTTGGACAGCATCCGCAGAAACAATCAAAATTGAATGAGTAATCAGTTGTTTATTTTTTTCATATACCATTTTTCAGTGCAAGTACAGAGTATTATTATACATATTTTGTTTTTTTTTTTTTTTTTTTTTTTTTAGACTTCGTA